TAAAAGTAAAAATACATACTTTGTGCTTTAGGTCAATACTTTAGTAAATTGATTTTTTGTTTGTTTGTTTGTTTTGAGGTAAGCCCAGGCTGACCTGGAATTTGCTGGGTAGCCCAGGCTGGTCCCTCTATCTCAGCCAGCCACATGCTGGTGGTACCAGGGTTCTCTATGTGTACCATTCCAGGCTTGATGTTTCTCATAGTTAAGACTCGATCAGAGTATCCCTACTCATTTCTCTTTCTTTGTACTTCCTCCCTTCTTTAGAGTATAATTTTTAGTAGACAACTAGTGGGCAGGCAAGGCAAATGAAAGCCAGCGTGTGCTGCTCACTTTTTTCCTCTCTAGGTTTTTCTTTTCTTTTTTTTTTTCTTCTTTTAATGTGATACATGTTGCTCTTGGTTTATAGATTGGCTTGAGGAAATAAATTTATAAATTTTTTTTTTTTGTCTTATGAGCTTACATCAAGTCTGTAAATAGGTGTCCTGGGGCACATAGGCTTTTGTTGGTTTTTGACATGGAAAACATGGCAGAGATGGTTTGCCGTGAGTTTTTTTTAAATTATTAAAGCACTGTTTACGTTGAAGTGTGTCGACTGTTGACATTTACCTGAACTCGACTCTTTTACAGAGATGATGTATTTTTTAAATTTTCCCTGTCCTTTGTAGGTGTGTATGATGGGGGTGGGGCTAATTCTTTCTAATTCCAAGTTAAATTGAGTGTGTTAGGTCCCGGAGAGTTCTAAGTATTTTGCTGCTTGGCCCAACTGTAGTGAACAAGAGACATACATTCTGCTACTGGAGTTTGGTGAGAGAGATGTGGTTGGGACAGTACACTAGGTAAGAATATATCATCATTAATTGTGTTTCATGCGGATGAAAATCAACAGTACTAGAAAAAGTGTTAGAGGATTTAGGTCAGGGAGTGACTTTCCCGTGGAGATTGAAGGGTGAGCAGGAGTTTAGCCAGGTTGGGCCTTGAAAGAAGAGCTCTGCCCAAGGGAGTGTGATGCCGAACCAAGCTCAAGAGATAGGAAGTAGACCTTGGAGGAAGGAGTGCGCAGGGGGCCAAGGAAAGGATGATGGCGGATGCAGAGGGTTGGCAGCAGTGTGGGTGAAGAGGGACTAAGGAGATGGCGTCTTAGCTTGGCTCTCATCGTTTCCTTGCTCGTCAGCCTTCCCAGGGGTTCTCAAACTATGTTCTGGTGTGTAGCTTAAGTCCTCAATATATACCGTAACTGGTGTACCCCCAATGTGTATTAATATTAACTGTAAAATATGTGAATAGAATATGTACATCAATCAATTCTATCATGGGGACAGCCTACCTGAAATAAGAGACAAGGGTTTTGCTTGTCAGATGAAGAGGTTTGTGGTGTGGCAGGCTTATATATGGCTTTTCTGCCTCTACGGGGGTGCTGGATGGCAGTGGCAGAAATCTGGTAGAGGAAACAGTTTCTCTTCATGGCTAAAAATCAAAGGAGGAAAGGGAAGCGTTGGGGCCATACAACCCCCTTTGAGGGCATGCCCGCAGTAATCTTAGGACACCTCCTAGGCCCTGCCTCTTAAAGGGACCACTGTCTGCCGGTAGTGCCAGCCTGAGGACCAAGCCTACTCTGGCAGCACATAAAACAGAAACTTACAGACATTAGAGGTTTGCCCATGGTGGAATCATATTAACAAAACTCTCAAGATACTAAATCTAATGTTTATTACACAAGATGGAACAATGTTCATTTTTTTTAATATCTTAAAAAAAATGTGTATTTGAAGAGACTACTTCATGTCAGGTTGACCTGAATTCTGTTGCTGTTCTCCAGTGAAGTGGCGAAGGAGGAACCTCTAGGAATATGCGATGTTGGGGCCTGTGTTTTGATACTCTTCTCTGGTACTTGTATCACTAATGTAATTAATCTCTAGATTCTTCACTGATGCTAGAGTACTTGCCATTTGGGGAAGAGTTCATCTCACTACAAGCAAGCTCCTGGGAGCTTCGTAGGCTAGCCATGACTACCCTTTCGTTAACAGTCTCTCTGAAAGGTACCCCTTTTGCTCCCTGGAGCAGAGAAGGATGCCAAGTAAAGTGGTCAATTATTTACTTCTTTGGTTTATGGGAACAGTGGTATGAAAAGCAACCTTGGAGTGTTTTCATTCTCCAGCTCAAGGGGTTTCTTTGTGTGGCTCTTAGATGCGTGTAACCACACTGCTGGGGGCTGCCAGAAACACAATTCTAGATATTAGACCAGCGGTGGGGAGTGGAAGTCATTTCAGGTAGAGAGGACTTTCGCAGGAATTGATCTCTTTCCTGTTATATATAGTACAGTATCTTAGGTCACCTAATCTGCAACAAAAATCATATTGATTGATTGATTGTATGTATATACATATGCATGTATGCAGGTATAGGTTTTAGTTTGACCTTGTTATATAACCCAGACTAACTTTGCTTTTGTAGCTCTCCTGCCTCTGCCTCCCAATTAATTCCTCCGGCGTATCTCATACCTAAGAAATTCACTTTTAGATTGCCCATGCTGGTGCTTGCCTCTAAGTTCAGTTTCAGGAGGCAGACGCATCCCCGCTCCCTCCTAGTCTGGAGAGCCCAGGGGCATGTTAGTGCAGCTCGGCTCCTAAAGGTCTTCATGCTGCCGCACACAGTAGCAGAGAACATTCCAGTGCGAGTAAGCGCGTTCACTTAGTTTCTTTTCCTCTTCTGAGACAAGCCAATGATGCCATCTTTGGAACTCCATCCCTACCCCACTCATTTCATCTTATTTTGTTGTCTTGTTTTGTGGGGTGTGTGTGTGTGTGTGTGTGTGTGTGTGTGTGTGTGTGTGTGTAGCCCTGTCTTGGAAATTGCTTTGTAGACCAAGCTGGCCTTGAACTCAGAGATTTCTCTGTCTCCCAAGCGCTGGGACTAAAGGTGTGCATCACTATGCCTGGCCCTTCATTTAATTGTAACTGCCCTCCTCCCCCCAAGTCTCTCTCTAAACACAATTAACAGGGAATGTTGAATAAACAGACCGCCAAGAAAAAAACGAAAGTTTAGGATGAGCTGGGGAATCAGGTGTAAAGTGTTTACTGTACCTGCATGTGAACCTGAGTTTGATCCTTGATACCCACGTACAAAACCGAGCATGGTGGGTTTTGGTAGCACGAATTCTAATTGTTCTTAATAATAAAATCCTGGAGTCTGTTATTAGGGGGTGAAAGCAGAAGGATCAGAGAAGCAGAGCGGCCAGCCACTAAAGTTCCTCCCTCTACCAATGCTCAGACCAAAGGGGTGATCCGGTCCTCACACTGCCTCCTCAGACTGATCGCCTAGAAGGCTGCCTCAGACTGCACTGAGCTCCTGTCTCCTCCCTGCCTTATATTCATCTCTCTACCCAGCCACATCACTCCTGTCTCCACCTTCCTAGTGCTGGGGATAAAGGTGTGTGGTCCCAAGTGCTAGAATCACCTTTGTGTGAACTCTGTTTCTCTTTTAGACTGGCTCAATTTCAGGTAGCCTAGGGCGACCTTGATTTAACAGAGATCTGTCTGCCTCTGTCTCCTGGGATTAAAGGTGTGTGCCGCCACTGCCTGATCTGTAGTGACTTAGGTCTGCACTCTGATATTCATTATTTTGTTTAAAACACAAAGAAAATATCACATTATTATTATTATTATTATCAATTATTATTATTTGAGACTGTTTCTCTGAGTATCCCTGGCTGTCCTGGAACTCACTCTGTAGACCAGTCTGCAACAGAGATCCACCTGCCTCTGCCTTTGGAGTGCCAGGATTAAAAATATATGCTACCACTGCCCATTGAGCATGGTTGGTTTAAGTTTATAATCCCAGTGCTGGAGAGGCAGAGAAGGTTGTGTCTGTGCACTCATTGGTCAGAAAGTCTAAATTCTTCATTGAGTCCCGTGTCTCACTTGGAGACTCTGTCTCATAGAACAAGGTGGATAGCTCCCGAAGAGTGACACTCCAGGTTGACCTCCAGTCATTGAAACTACCTGCACACGTGTTCACACACACGTGAATACAAATGTGAACCCAACCCACCCACTTACGCACGTGTGTGCACTCTGCACAGACACGCGGGAGATAATCTACTGGCTTCTGTCACTTGTTGTGAAGGTGTAAGCGTTACAGCGCGCTGACCTGTTCATGGAACAGTTCTCCCAGGTTCTTAACTTCACTATCCAGGAAACTGCACCAAATCAGACTCTCATTAGATTCCTGATACTTGCAGGACTTAATTCCAACGGGAAGGTTCTTAACTCAGGGAAGTGAGCTTCTGCAATGTAGTTCTAGGTCGGCACCAACTTGAACTTTCTATCAACTGTCTTATTTTTTTCTCCATGGACATTTCCTATCCTGTAAATTTACATAAATTCTTATTTTGAAAGTATTTCTGTCTTGTGTCTAGCCTCTCAACAGACTAGCCTTTTAAAACTCGAGGTTGATGTAGAAATGCGGTGTTTGCAGGAGATGGGGTGGAGGAGACATTCTTTGTTTCCCTCTTGGGTTTTCATGGTGGTCTAGTTCAGCCTCCAAACCTTCAGAGAAGTGAGGCTCAGACACAGTGACCTGCCTTGAATTATCCAGTCTCATATCTTTAACATCATGTTAGAGTCGTGATCTTGGCCTCCCAGTCTTTTATACTATAATGCCAATGTCATGTACAATAAGGTAGAGTAAAATTCAAACCTAGAGTCTTTCAGAATGTTTTATCTTCAACATTTTTCCATTTATTTTTTAATTGAGTTCTTCATAGGGAGGTAGGCTTGGAGACCTAGCCTTGGTGAGGTCACCGGCCAGAGGGAGATCTTAAATCCTTTGAAAATTTGTTCAGATCCATGAGCAGAGAATATTCAGATGTGCTAAGCACCAAGGCATTCTGTGTTGGGTCTGGTTGAAGGCCCCCCGTGGCTTTTGGAGATGGCATGCCTGTTCTACTGTCATCCTGCGGTTAACTTTTGGTGTGACTTACATGTCTTCTTTTCCTTCCACAGGTATACCATGGTAGATGGAGTCATGATCCTTCCTGTGCTGATGGTCATCGCTTTTCCTTCCCCGAGTCTGGAAGGTACGTGACACACAGCTGCTTGGTTACCACGACGTGCTGTGTATTCTTTGGCTTACCATAAAGCATTTGGTCCTTAATCCTGTCCGATTTAACACACCCTTCGTATGATAAATATCCACACTGTCCCTTGACTGCTTTCATGTGCGTTTCTGATACACATTGTATCTTGATTTATGTGTGTGCGTGTGCATGCTGTTTTTGAAGGTTCCGCAGAATACCCTACCAAAAATAAATATGAAGGTGAAGTAGAGTCGATTGTGTAATTAACGATAAAGTATCTGTGTAAACAAAGGTACTCTGTGCTGTCTGCGCCCAAGCACATTAGATATTATGAAGTGTGGTACTCTCTATTTATTATCTGTGCATTAATGTCCACTGTTTTGAATGCCCACGGTAAATATGGTCAACATGCTACCCGGAAGTTGCAGAATAAGCAATTCCTAAGTTTTAAGTAGCTGTCAATATACTTATTATAGTATAATATTATTATACTTAGTTTTATACTTGTTTTCATCACTTACTGCGCCTCATTTTAAAATCTGTTTATTTATTTTGCATGTGTGCAAGTGTGTATAAGTGCGCCTGCAATGGAGTGTGTGGATGGAGGTCAGAGGACAGATTCCAGGAGTCAGTTACCTTTTTCCACCCAGAGGTTCTGGGGCTTGAACTCAAGTGGTTTGGCTTTGCCTTTTGCCTTTACCTAAAGAGCCACTTCCAGTCTTTCCTGGGACTAACTCACACATGAAACATCGCCGGCTACGGGATGGGGGGGGGAGTAATATGTTTAGAATTTGATGGTATCCACACTTATAATTGTGGTGTAAGGATAAAGGGGGTATTCTGATGTTACACACATGTGTATTCAGCCATCTACCTCAAAAACTAGATGACTGCTGTTACATTGTGTGGCACTCATTTTCTGAATAATGAAAAATTTTGGTAGAATGTCAAGAAAACAGAGCCCTGTGGCCCCTTTGATAGTTTTATCTATCTGCAGTGAACCACGGTGTGTTAAAGGTTCGCTGCTGCGGCAGGAGTGGGGAGGGTCTAACAAGAGGCCTTCTGGATATTGGGAGGTTGCCCTCCAAGAAGTTTGTGGAAAGCCCTGCCATGTCTCTTTCTTTCACGCCTGATTGTGAGATATTAGTCTTCCTCTGCGCCCCTGCCCCGTTCTCAAGACCCTGCTATATGTTGGTTCATGGTTTGCAAACCTCCAGTGGCAATCAGTCATGGACTGTAACCTCCACAGCTGCCCACCCCAGTAACCCTTTTCTGTTGTTAATTTGATTACAGCTCAGGGATTGGCTGCAGTTACGGAAAGCTGACCAGAACACCTGCAGTTTGTGTTGGTAGTTTTACTTGGTGGAAATGTAATGTACAGCAAGACAAGTTTTTGTGTACAACAGGTAGATATTAGGTTCAGTTAATTATGCAAATTGTTTAGGTAAGCGAATGTGTTGAAGCGTAATCAGAACTTGTCCTGATAAAACACACGTGGAGGCGTTTGCATAAGATCCCAGCTACTAGTAGGTGAAGGCAAGAGGATTAGAAGCTGAAGGTTACCGTTGACCACATAGTGAACTCGAGACCAGCCTAGGCTACAGAAAACTCACCCTCAAAGCAACAAGCTTGCTATGACTTAGGCTATGTCTTTGTCTGTTTGTGCGTCTGTAACAAAACACCGCAGACTGGATACCTTATAAGCAACAGACATTTATTGCTTGTAGTTCTCCATCTGGGAAGGCCAAGTTCAAAGTGCTGGGCGGGAGATTTGCTGCCGACTGAGAACTCATTGCTCAGAGGTGGCGCTTTTTCACTGTGTCCTATGGTGGAAAGGCTAGCTATCTCTTTTATGAGGGCGCTGCCCCAGTTTCCTTGCTGTTGCTGTGATTAAAATGCCTTGACAAAAGCAGCTTTAAAGGAAGGAAGGGCTTATGCGCATGTGCGACTCCAGGTTAGAGTCCACCGCAGTAGGGAAGTGAAGACAGCAGGAACTTCAGACAGCTGGTTACGTCACCTGCACAGTCGAATGCACGGGTGCTCCCCCGCTTGCTCTGTTCTGCTCTTTCTACTTTTACCTCATTCAGATTTCCCTGTCCAGGGAATGGCGCTGCCCGCAGTAGCTGTAAAACAGTTCCCCCACAGACATGCTCAGAGGCCAATCCAGTGCCTCCTTCACTGAGACTCTACCTGGGTGACATTGAACCATCACAGGCACACGCCGAGGGTCTTTGCTCATGCTCTCTCACTTGTCCTAACTTCTACTACTACTGTCACCATGGATTTCAAGGGGACACAAACATGCATACACCACAGGGAAAATTGTAGCCCATGATGTAATCAGGCATTTCAAAGCCTTGGGCTTCTCTGTTTTTTTTTTTCTTACTGTTATTGATTCCTTCTTTTCCCTACCTTCTTTCTGGAAAGTTACTTAAGGGGTGGAACTTCTCTTTTTGAATACAACAAAACAGCTGACTAAGAAAGAAGGGAAAAGTTAATCCTAACTCTGAGCAATAATAAATCCCGCCTTTCCGTGTTGCTATGTCAGTGTATTCCAGGTGCAAATCTGAAAGTCTATCAAGGTGTGCCCTGGAACACGTCTGTTTTGTACACGTTCCTGCAGGAAGAGCAGCGCTTAGAGTGATTCTCAGTCTTGTTCTGATCAGATGAGACATAAGTCTCATGTCCCTGTTGTGAGTTCTTTGGGATGTAGGGGTCCACTTTGCATAATTGATGAGCTTCCAAGGAGGCAAATAATTAATCTGGTTAGTGCAGCCAACTCTGCAGAAAAGTCAGAACTCGGTGTCCTAGGAGTTATTTTGTTGAACTTTAGACTTACCTTGTTGGATCTGTTCCTACTTTATCTATCTATGTATCTGTATCTATCTATGTATCCATCATCTGTCTATCTGTCTGTCTGCTTGTCTGTCTGTCTATCTATCTATCTATCTATCATCTATCTATCTATCTATCTATCATCTATCTATCTATCTATCATCTATCTATCTATCTATCTATCTATCTATCTATCTATCTATCTATCATCTAGCTATCATCTTTCCATCCAACTCCTCTCTCTGTCTCTCTCTCTGTCTCTCTCTGTCTCTCTCTCTCTGTATCCCTCCATTGTCCTTCCCTTTCTCTCTCCATTGTCCTCTTTGGGAGTCCCAAATCCACTACATGTAGCATTGGAATGTAGGTAATAGTCAAGGAGGTCTCTGAGTGTAAGGTACGAGCTGGGTTTTGAAGACAACAAAAACGAAGGTTTTGTGTCCATCTTTTTACTGTGAGAACATTTAGATTAGCTCTAGTAAGGTGGCTTCTATTTTGTTTCTGTTGAGCAGCGCTGCTGTAGCCTAGTCTGGATATCTAGAGTCTGTCTAGACAGCTCTCAGCAATGAATGTTGTGGAAGACATCCCAAAGCTCTCGTAGGCGTGGCAGGTGGTGCCCCAGACGATCCTGTCCTGCAAGTGCTGAAGGCATTCGGCATTCGTAGGAGGAAGCTGGAAGTATTGGCTGAGTTACCGGTGCTTTTCAGTAGGACATTTTGGAGGACCCATTTCTTGGTCCCCTTCCTCAGTGCTTTAAAGCTCATTGCTAGAAAAAAAAAAAAAGTCTTAAGAATCTTGGAAACTAAGTGCTCTCCAAATTCTACCTCTCCATATGCTATTAAGTCGTGCCTTTTGATTTCAGTTAATATCATGTTGGACCTGTGATGGAAGCAAGACAGGAGAGAAAAGGAGACCAGAACAGAGGTCGAGTTGGAAAGAACCAGAAGAGAGGGGAAGGAAAACAGCAAAGAGGGAGGGAGGAGAGAGACACTTGTGCAATGGCGTTAAGGACCTTGTTCTGGATTTGTTTTTTTTTTTGTTTGTTTGTTTTTTTCCTCCCTCTGTGTTTCTAGCACTTAAGCTTCGTAGAATCCAGCAAATGACCTCTTTATTTTTACTATTTAGTGAAATTTATATAAAATGGATCATACTATTTAGGATTTTCTATACATTGTATTTTCACTTTTAGTTTCTGAACTCTGTACACATTTATTTACATTTCTATAAATGACCCATTTCACCATATTTCTTTCTTTCTTTACTGGCATTTATACACAGTGATGGTGTCACGAAGACATCTCCATGCAAGTATACCATGTGGTTTGACCTTATTCACTTCCCCAGCTCCCCTCTCTTTCCCATCCCATTCACTCCCCCAGACAGGCAAATGACCGCGTACTGGAAACAGATAATAAAACCCATTGTTCCGAGCTGATAGGAAAATGGATTGCCACTAAGATTTTACTGTTTAGTAGACCACCACGACTATAATTCAGCTAGTGACCTGAATGTGGACTACTGTCCCTCCTCTGTAACATTCTATGAGTACCCTAAGTTGGAGTGTGCTTGTCACGTTCGTGACTGGCTTGGGTGCTGGTCACCTTCTTTCCTTTTTATGATTTAGCTTTGTTAGTTGTCACTAGTATATTCTATAAAAGGAACTTTTGGTTTTTATATATACACTAAGGATTAAAAAACTGCTTGCAATACACTCAGTTATAAAGTAAAATTTAGGTTCAAAATGCTTAATTGAAAGAGAGAAATACTAGGAAAGATAATAAAAGTCTGGTGCCGAGCTTTGTAGATTATGAGTTGAAAAGAAAAAAGACTCCCGTTTAATGTATACTGGGCAGTAGAAGCCATCTAGTAGCTATGTCCTGCTGAAGCCACCCGATGTTCTTGGGGCACACGCAAAAAGTCACAGATATTTTGTAGTGATAGATGTTGATGTACAGACTTAGTCCCTGAAACAAACTAAGGGCACTTGGTGGCATGCACCTGCACTCTTGTCCAGGATGCTGAGGTAAGAGGATAGCTTGAGCCTAAGAGTTCAAGACCTGCCAGGGCAGTACAGGGAGACTCTGCAAAAAGCAAGCAAAGATGGGAGAGCATTGGTCAGTGGACCTTATGTTACAGTTAGACGGGAGAAGTAAATTCTGGTGTGCTGT